GAAAAGGGGGGAAAGGAGGAAAAATTTTTTAAAATTTTTTACACCTGTTTACAAAAAAAAAAAAAAAAAAACGTAACAATAACGGGGGTTTTTTTGAAAAAAATACCTTTCCAAAAAAACCTCGTAAAAAACAAAGTTTTTTTTCCCCCCTTGTGGTGTTTTTTTGTGGGTAATTTAACCAATTAATTGCTCGTAATGTAATTTTTAGGAAGTATCTACATTTTTTAAAAATTTGAACTAACAACGTAATGAAAAATGTTTTAATTACGTTGCTTTATTAGTTGTTTTTTTTTTTTTATGACAACCCGGGAAATGAATAGTTGTTTATTTATGTTTTTTGACGAGTGAAAATTGGTCGCAAATTGAAAGGCCGAAGTGCGGTGGCGCGGGCCGGGGAGCCACTTACGACGAGGTCACGGGCGGGGAGGCGATGGTGGCCTTGGGAAGGTCCGAGCACCGGTTGATGAAACGGGGCGGCCGCTGGACACGGCCAGGGCGGGCGGGGGCGGAATCTGCTGTGGTGGCCCGCGACGGCAGCTTCGGGGCGGGCGGGCGGGGCCCGGGGAGGAGGAGGAGGGCGCGGCGGCGGGCGGGGCGGGGGTGGAAGGGGCGACGGGGCGAGAGGGCGCCAGGCCGGGCGGGCGCTGCGCGCCGAAGCCCGGGCGCGGGTAGGTGGGCGCCAGGCCGGGCCGCTGCGCGCCGAAGCCCGGCCGCACGGGCACGGTGGCGAGGGCGGTGCCGCTCACGGGGCCAGCGTTAATGAACAGCGGGTGGCTGCAACACACAAAGCACAGCGTCATACACCAAGGACAAAACGACACCAAAATCAGCACGTTTTTTCAAAATGGTACTGTACTAACTTCAGGGGCGGATGGGACGACGACGACGAATTGCCCAGTGAGAGAGACACTTTTCACTCTGCCTTACACTTTTCACTCTGAATAAATCTTACGAATTTTCTATGAAAAATGTTTCTTACCCAATTTCTTTTATTTTTGTTTTTTGATTTGAATGTTACGAATTTAAATCATAAATGAAGCACCTAATGTTGATTAATTGCATCTTTGTCAAAAGCGAATTAATAATTTTCCAAAAAGATAGATCAAACTCGTTAGGGGGTGGTCAAATCCGAGCACCGTCCCGTCAATTTACATATACAAGCAAGGTGGAAGGTGGAAATGTTCATAGGCTGCATCTGTGAGTCACCATACAATCGTCAATGTCCGGGAATATGTTCGACGACATTTGTATGTAACTGCATTCTGCGGAAGGCTCAATTACAAGCCCTGATATGGTACATGCAACACATGTGTTAGGCTATTACTTACAGTAAGAACAATCTCGTTAGATGCCGCCTTATGTCAGTTATTCTTCAAATTATTTTGCAAAATGCGTTATGTTTCATAATGAAGTTGCTTCATGTAAATGAACACGAAATTGCAAATAGTATAATGTATCGTGAAATTTCTTCCCTTATGCATCAATAATTTCATGGTTATTCAATTCAGTAGCCATCTCTCATTGCAGTGGGATAAGAACGGAAGTTGCACTATCATTCCCTTTTTGAAAAAATAAATAAAGCCAAGAACGGTCAATATAAAACTGCTAGTGGCCCTAAAAGAAGTTTTAGCCTCCCAGTCCTTGGACGCGATCCAAAATCATTAACGAGAAGGCAGAAAAGGAGTGAATGTTCCCGCGACGTGACTAACGGCTGCGCTTCCGGTAGCCTGCGTTCCTTTCGTCGTTTAGAGTTAAAAATGAAAATAATTTAAATTTTCCAGATTATCCCATTAGCAGTTATACGATTGAGGACGTTCAGAATTCATTTGGATATTTATTAGGATTTCAATGTTTGTATTTGTTAGGATTTCAATCTTCATCTACAAATTTATTTAAATGAATATGTTTAGAGTAATAAAGACGCGATAGTCATGTTTCATTCTTTACATTTCAATGTCAATGAATTCATTTTAATCACACCAATGTTACATTTTACCACAAATTAGGCAGAACTCTTTGAAAACAAATGTTTGTTGCCATACAGTCATAAAATGAAGTATATTCTTCGTTGAAGTTTGAAAACATGAGTAGATAAAACGAACAACCTGAACTAACTAAATTCATGTTTGCCTAATTGCCGATAATATATTGCTTCCTTAATAACAAATTATAATATGTCCAGAAAACTTGTATAACATTAAGAATTGCATATATTAGAATAATCAAGCATACATTTTCATCACCTGACATCCTCAATTTATTGGTTCAACTTGACCCCACAATTTTACCGAAATGTGCAAGTTAAATTTTTCTGATAAATAAATGGAAAGTGTGGAAATTTAAAAATTCTCAGAATAAAACAATAGATACTAAATTAATAAAGAACATTTCATTTGATTGAAAATTTATTACTTATAACAAACTTATAAGAAACTTTCTATTATTATGTTCATCGTGGTTCACAAAATTAATATGAACAGTTCATAGATATTGCTTTACAGGAGGCCAAACTTTGAATGTAAAAAATACTCCAAGTTTCTACTGGCCATTTTTTTCTTCGGAAGGGCCAGCAGGGAGCAAGTCAATGGAAAATATGATTTGAGTGATTAATTCTACTGGAACTTAACTTGTATACCATTGTCAGATGTACGTCTAAGGCATTGTCTTAATTATAGGTTAGACAGCTTCATTAGACACTACAGAAATAATTGGTTTTAAAACTAAATTATTTTACTCAATACTGCGAACATATGCTTATGTGTTTTGCTCATTTGTTCAAAATTATGCTCGTTTGTTTCGATTTATCGTAGGTATTTGAAAAAAATACACTCCCACATGTGAAGAAAAATTCAGATATTTGGAAAAATTCCATTTTGATCTCCTATTACTCGAGTTCAATGGTTACGTAATAGAATCAGATTTGAATATTTTCATTATTGAATAAAGTACAGAAATTAAATAAAAGGGACATCCAGTATTGAAAAGTAAGAAACTGAAATTCATGAAACTAAGTTCGACGAACATTAGAAAATAAATATCGTGGTTTCTGACTTGAGATTAACAAGAGAAAATGAGTTCAACAAAGTGTTGAACTCATTTTCAACCTAAAAGTACATACACATTCCTAATTTTTCTCCCCAAAATGAATTCGTGTATTTGGATTTATGATAATTGGACTCAGTTGTATGTCGCTGCCTTTCTTATACGTAGGAGAGCGGTGGCTCAGCTGGTGCCACCTGGCGGGGAGGCCACGGTGGGAGCCGATTCGATCGGACTATTTGGCCGAACGTGCTCCGAATTCCGCTTGTTCTACCGATTTTACGACTCGCCCAACGATCCGACACCCCAAGTATCTGACGCGGTCGGCAAGTGCCGAAAATACCGGTCCACGATATTTCCATATAGATAACTTCGTGTGACTTCGGCATCTGGTTGTCTGGCAAAAGTCATTCAGCATCGACCTAGCCAAGTTTACGATCCGCTGCTACCATATATGTCTCTTACGTTTAAAGGGAAAGGGATGCCAACTATTTCTAACGTAGAATCTAAAGATAAACATATTTTACTTAAGATTGTCTCGTGGAAAAATATTTCTCATCTTGGATTGACGTGGTTAGAATATTACTTCATACCAGACCTTACTTCTAATCTTATTGGCGATCAAAAATAACGTACATTACCGGCAGATTTTATTTAAAAACTAAGTTCCAAATGGAAATCAATGTAAATAAATAGACTGCTTAATTTGATATATTATGAATAAACTACTAAATTGTAGTTTGCAAACTGGTATTTCGTTTTTGGCAAAATCTGCTTAAACATTATAAGTGTAAATTTAATCATATATAATGAAGTAAAATAGGAAACTGAGTCAATGTTCTGAATCGAAAGATATCTAAAATTGAACATTCAGATTATTACTTTCATTTAACGATGGTGTCATGAGAATGCTACTTAAAATGTAGATATTAGTTCCTGCAATTGTTTCGCGTATCTTTTTAAATAGTCATATAGTGAAAATATGTAAAGGATGTGTACACGTATACATGTAAACACTTAAAAAGCGTTCTGTTTTTAGAGCTAGAGGCTTAGAATATTTACTCGGTGCCGACTATTTTTTCTAGGCCATTATCCCCGGAGTATACGACGGTCTGAATGAAATAATTTTTTATGTTTGCCTAAGGCCATTCACCCTAAAAATACACAAATCAACCCAGAAATTCCGGCGCTGTGAGATCACAGCTGCCCGGTTGGCATCCCTGGCGATCGGGGGTCCAATCAGGAGCGTATAAATAACGGCGCGTGGGCCAACTCCGGGTCGTAATGAGCGTAGCGGCGGCGACGGTGGCGCGACACGCGGCGCGGCGCGGCGTGACGCGGCGCTGCGGGGCGCCGCCGCGGCGGCCCACCCTAATCGGCCCGTGACAAGAAAATTATCCGCAGCTCAGCGCGGAGCATCGACACTCAGCACCTGATTAGCTTAAACAGAACATAACTCACCTTCGTTCTGACGTTCTTCCGCCGCATAACTAATTCTACCTCCGGCCACTCTGTTTTTTTTTCGTAAGTAGGACCCGAGTGGCGGGAGGGGGGAGCTTGCAACGTTTTCACACCCACCTCGCGGGGAATAATGTATACAGCAACGGGCGATAAATTGCAGGACACTAAGTATAGGTGTCTTTACAAAGACATTATTAGCCAGTTTGGCCAGGTGTCAAAATACTGTGTTCGTCGATCATGCATCATGAGAACACTTTCTCTAACTTTGTGGTCCGAACAAATTATTTTTCAAATTTATTGAGAGACGAAAAATTGTTTTTGCTTCCGAGGTGTGGTCTCGTATGTATAAAACTTAATGGAGGTGTTGACTAAATGTCCAATATTATTTGAGGTCTGAAGGAAGTTCATAATAGTATGTCCCCCATTTTTATAAATAAACACCGAAAGAAATTTCATATGCACGTTCGCTGTCCCTGAGATTGTCTAATATTGTAATTTCGACAAACTTTCAAGAGGCAGACATTATCATTTCAATTTCTTCTCTTCGCTTTAGTTTTGTGATTTTTGTTGCTTTTTTAAAAAAAATATTAATTTACTCTGTCCTTTCTGTGGATATCATTCTCAGATTTTACAATTTGCATTAGAATTCAGGTTTTTATGCTTTACTAGAAATTGAGGGAGGACACAACAAAAGAAAAATACTGTTGAAAGAATGTATTTTTTACGATAGGCATATATCTTTGCACTCATGAAGGAGAATAATATTGCAACTTATCTTACAGCTTAAAAATAATTATTTTTGAATTCCAACACGTACAACGGGCACAAATCTTTTCTAGAGTCAGATAATTATGTGAGAGATGAATTGTTTCCTTTTACGGTAGCATTTTCTTTTATAATTCATAGTAAGCTTAACGCATTTTTTACGAAGGCCAACAAACTGGTGATGAGGTAGACTAATTGGTTGTCAAGACCATAAAGATCGTTTGACCCCTATCTCAGACGCTCAGAATATGTTGACTCGAGATAATTAACATCGTATTGTACCCAACAGACCCAACGTTACTCAGTGGAGGTAGATGCTTAGTTTTTTTCAACTGAAGCAGCATAAAAATATAGATATCACAGAAACAATTGGAGTGTTGACTGTCGATTTTATCAAGAGCAGCTTTAACTTCTTAAGTTGAAAGGAAATAGCCAGACCGATCAACCAATAACAAGAGCCATTAACTCGCGATTGCTAATAATGTAGGAAAGCCTAACGGAGAAAAATGATCAATTTTATGTTATTTGCTTGTACTTCAAATTCTATGGGTATTTGTTGCATACAATTGATCAAACTCTTAATGAACCGACCTAATGACATTTAGTGTAACATCACTTCTTTTTGTTCAATGTTTTATTGTAAAAATTTAAATTACATATTATGGTTGAAAGAAACTTAAAGACAAATCCCTAAGATGTATGACACCAAATTCATGCTTATGCGTGCCATTTACTAAGTTTGATTTTTTTAGAAAGTACGTGTTTTTGCATGGGAAAAGGTAATTATTTGTTTTTTTGTTTTGTTGTATGCAAATTTCATAATACCGTACATTTTTTTCGCGTATAGGGCAACTCGGATCACGCGCGAATCCTACTTCAGCAGGGGGGGCAACCTTTTAGCTGAATCACGATTTTTACTCCCTAAGCTTGTTAGCCCTGGAGGTATGGATGATGATGATGATGATGATGGTGGATGAAAGAACGGCACACACATATAGACATACACAAAAATACACCCATGCCGGAGGAGGGTTTCGAACCCGTGGTCTTGTGGTCCGAGACCGCTACGGATCCACTTCCCTAACGATCTCGGCCTTCTGACTGACTGTACCTTAACTATAATATACGACTATGTTCCCAGCATATACGTGTATTCACCACTAATATCTGGTATGAGAACTTAATTTTGCCATTGAAATATTCCTTTGTTGTAACTTTCTGCGTTTGGGAATTCATATAAGATAGATTATTTTGTGTTACATTTATAGATTTAGAGAATTGTATTGAACCTATGAAACTCATTTTCGCGTTCGAAAGTTAAAATATTTCGGGTGTTTAGTGGAGGCTGCAGAATAATTGCTAATTATATCTGTGCACGTTATGATTGAGAAAATCAGAATTCATAGTTTTGAATTAAGTGAATATATATTTAAAAAATAGTTTAGTATTTCTAGTAAAAAAAATTCATAATGTTATTTTTCAAGACAGACGATATACAGAAAAAAAACCTTTGCCTTTGTCCACAAAACAACCTGTTTGAAACCATTCTGCTACAAAATGAGGTGAGGCACTGTTCTTGCGCGCGGGACGACATGTGCAGAGCGCGTGTCGTATCGTGTCGTGTCGTGTCGTGTCGTGAGGACTCACCTGAAGGGGTACTGCGAGTGGAAGGGGTAGGCGAAGGGCAGAGGCCCGGTGGGCACGGCGTACACGACGCGCACGGCGTACGGGTGGGAGGCGGTGACGAGCGCGCCGCTGGGCACGGGCGCCAGCACGGCGCCCACCGGGATGGGCATGCGCAGGCCCTGGTGCACCACGGTGAAGCGGGCGGGGAACGGGATGGTGGTCTCCGGCGACGACACCACCATCGGCCGCGCCAGCACCACCCGCACGGCGGGCGTCGCTTCGCGCTCCTGCAACACGCGCGCGCTCACGTCACTCCTGCAGACGACACTCAGGAAGCATACATCGCTAACAAGGATCCTGCATCGCATCCAGGAAGCATACAACTTCTAACTGTGATAGAAAGAAGAAAAACAATTCATAACTTTGCAACTTGCTTCTAACTTTGATAGAAAGAATAAAAACAATTCATAACTTTGCAACTTGTTTCTAACTTTGATAGAAAGAAGAAAAACAATTCATAACTTTGCAACTTGTTTCTAACTTTGATTGAAAGAAGAAAAGCAATTCATAACTTTGCAACTTGTGTCTAACTTTGATTGAAAGAAGAAAAACAATTCATAACTTTGCAACGTATTTCTAACTTTGATAGAAAGAAGAAAAAAAAACAACATAACTTAGCAACTTATCTCTAACTTTGATAGAAAAAAGAAAAGCAATGCATAACTTTGCAACTTATTTCTAACTTTGATAGAAAGAAGAAAAACAATTCATAACTTCGCAACTTATTTCTAACTTTGATTGAAAGAAGAAAAACAATTCATAACTTTGCAACTTATTTCTAACTTTGATATAAAGAAGAAAAATAATTCATAACTTTGCAACTTAGTCATCCTTTATTCAAACCCACATCGGTATTTTACCACTTCTAAGCCTTTGTAAAAATACTCCGGATTTTTGTTCGCTAAATGATCAAAAGTGCTTCTTTCACCTCTAACTCGCCTGAAACTATTCTTCCCCGGAGGTTTTTGTTCAGTGTTCATAATTGGTGAACGTTGCTGGGTGTCCAATCAGAACTGTAGTGTGAATGGTTCAACTCCTCAAAGCCTTTGTATTTCACAATACACTTTGCGATCTGAATAGTAAGAACAGATGTATTATTGTGAAGAAGCTAAATACCATGAGATTTCTTGCTCTGCACCCAACTCAAGTATCACTCTGGGTGAAACTGAGTGGGATGTTGGCTGCAAACAGCATTACAACAATTGAAGAGAAGACTATAAACTGCTCAGCAGGTTTTCTCGTTGATGAGCAAATTCTTGGTCAGGCCAGAAACGTATGGAAACACCTATGTAAATAAAGTCTTCTTTATGCGTATGTGAGATAAGTCTATTTACGTACTGAGAGGAAAAATATGCACAATAAAAATAATGCAACAGATAAAAACGCTCCTAGTACAATTTTAAGACCTCTTGTAAATATTACGAGGATGTCGTATTTATGAAAGATGTCAAGACGAACGCTAAGAATGAACAAGGAAGATGAATGTCAGTTACCTTCGAGGATATCCCAAAACATGTTTATGATGAAAGATGGTTCAGTTTTAATGCCCTCCTTCATTTATTTTAAAACTGAAATTTCATAGTGAGTGCGAAAAATTACGTGATCTCCATGAATGAAGTGTAGGAATGAAGGGGCAGTTACATTCTAAATCAAAAGAAGAGTAATACATGTTTGCACTAAGATTTATAAAAGACAGGCTAATAAATTTCCTTTTACAAAACTTGCTTCCATGGAGCCATTTTCTACATGATAAGAGGATATTCGTCTGTACATTTTACGCTTGTTGTTTTAGGAGCTTTTAATTTGTTCTGCGTTTACACGAAGAGCAAAGAAAATTAATTTTTTTAGTATATTAATTCATTTCATACAATCCTTCTCGAGATTTCAATTTGTTTCTCGCCTAAATACGCTTACCATACATCCTCCCGCACTGTTCTAACCTCCACAAACAGTTCGGCTCCACCGCCTTTTGCATGTCGCGGCAGACGGAGCTCCACCGCTTCACACGCAGAGCCCTCTCCTTCAGAGGCAGTCGGTCCTCCCCTCGCCTCGCCTCGCCTCGTCGGGGCGTTCGCTGGGGGCCAGGGGGCAGCGCACGCGGTGCGGCCGCAGAATTACAGCGCAGGGCTTCGTCCCGCGCATTACGCAACTCGCGCATATCACTTAGGCGGCCCCCGCCCGCAGCGCGCGCCGCCTAATGGCCCCGCCGCCGCCGCCGCCGCCGCTTCCGCGCCCCGCGCCCCGCGCCGCCCGCCACCCGCCACTCCCTTTCGGTGACGGGGGAGGTGGTCCGGAGGAGGAAGATGCGGTTGGAGTGGCAGCGGTGACAACGGACATGGGATAGTAGATATGAGAAACGTAGGACGATTTGGTAGATGGGTTGATGTTCGTCTTTATCCACGAAACACTAGGGCACTAGCTTTATCTGTGGTGGGTCTATGATAGTGGCAGAGATGGAAATGATCGACAAAGAATGCCTTTGATATATTATGTATAAACTCGGGCGCTGTTGATTAGCGGTGACAACGGACACGGGATAGTAGATATGAGAAATGTAGGGAGATTTGGTAGATGGGGTTGATGTTCGTTTTTATCCACAAAACCCTATGGCACTAGCTTTATCTGTAGTAGGTCTATGATAGTGGCAGAGATGGAAATGATCGACAAAGAATGCCTTTGATAGATTATGCATAAACTCGGACGCTGTTGATTAGTGGTGACAACGGACATGGGATAGTAGATATGAGAAACGTAGGACGATTTGGTAAATGGGTTGATGTTCGTCTTTATCCACTGGTTTACACTCAACACTATGGCACTAGCTTTATCTGGGGTGGGTCTATGATAGTGGCAGAGATGGAAATGATCGACATAGAATGCTTTTGATATATTATGTATAAACTCGGGCGCTGTTGATTAGTGGTGACAACGGACATGAGATAGTAGATATGAAAAAAGTAGGACGATTTGGTAGATGGGGTTGATGTTCATTTTTATCTACAAAACACTACGGCACTAGCTTTATGTGTGGTGGGTCTATGATAGTGATAGAGATGGAAATGATCGACAAAGAATGCCTCTGATGTGTGATGTATTAAATCGGGCGCTGCTGGTCAGTACATTGGCAGTAGTGGCCGAAGTGTTGGTATTAAAGTTGTCGTGATGGTGATCTTTCACGAATTTAAATTTAGCGTCAGCTGCGTTTGCAAAAGGAAGTTATGGGTATAGCAATGGACTACCCGCCTCTTGAGGATGGAAGGGGCAGGGACGTCAGTGATGAAGTCAGTGGTCCAGACGGCGCTGGTTTTGACGGTGCCGTGTCAGAGTCTGCAATCTCCAAGATGGAAGGTGGTGATGACGGTGGTGTCGGAGGTAGCCGGAGGATTCGGTGGAGGGGGGTGGGGCAGCGAAGGCGAGGTTCAGTCTCTGACCTCCTCTCGTTGCGATAATGAACGACTGCTCATTCGGGACGTGACGACGCCCTCGCCCTCGCCCTCGCCCTCCCACGAAGAAAGTGCCTGCGGTGCATCATCAAATTGCGCGGGTCTTTTTCGTGTCAGGGATCGCTGCTTCATCATTCAATTACCTCAGCACTCGCAGATGGTGGAGGTTGGGCTCCTGGCAATCTTTTGCGAGCGGTGGGCTTCGTAGCATCACCACTATAAGCGTTTGCATTGTTACGAGATGGGAGATATGCTGAATATCTACTGCGTTTGCGAATACAAATTATATCATTTCGAATGAGATAAGAGCATTGTCAAAATATTTGTCAGTCTTTGAACTCTTTTCACGGATTATGGACTATTTACTATTACAATAAATTAGTACTTTTATATTCTCTACATCATCATTGTTCCATAGTGTTACTGGATGAGAGTAGATTAATGAGAGTAAGGTCTAAGAACTAATCATCTCCTTCTTTAATTTGAGTTTATTCCGTTAGATATAGGATTGCCAGCGAAATGTCTACATCATTCGTCATTACGATTTTTTATAAAAATAGAACACCGAAACTAAAGAATCATTAAATAACTATTTATCAAATTCTGAATGTAAGATCAACGCGGAACTGTTGTTTGCGCTCACATCACGAAAAAATTGCAGGATGATTAATCTCACGCGCTTTTAACGACTTCTCACTTGCTTTCCAAACTTGGTCATTGGTGAGTGGGTAGGAGTGAATTGTATTTCCAGGTTTGAAGATAATCACGTCAGCACCTTCTAGCGCTGGTGAGCTTGGCGATGTTAGGTTCCCTAGTATGAGTCATGCGGGTGTTTTCTGGAGTACGAATGACGCCACATTGTAAAGTTTTTTTGTCCAACGTTTGGCCATCTTTTTTTACCATTTACTCTAAAGAAGATGACATTGCTAAGGCCGTGGCGTCTCCGACAGACTACAGCAAACGCTTGATAAAGGATTAGCTGGGGTAGGGTCATGAGTTCTCTCACGCGGAACTTTTGGGATACAGCACCCAAACGAAGTTCTCAGATTTCAATCTAATTTAAACTCTGCGAATATATTACGTTTCTTCGTTATCGCATCGTATGGTACGAGTCTCAGGAGTCTCGATTCATCCCATACCTCAGATGATTCCAAGATATTTTCTTTATTAATTGGGAACGGATCATTTAAGGGGTCACAACGCTGAACCCAAAGGATGGGGAAGCCTGGATTGCGCGCGATCCTTGACCTCTTAATTCAAGTATCAATTCAGCAACCCCTGGCATTGATCGAAGAAAACTACGGAAATGATCGATTAGAGCAGACATTTCGACTGCAGGTTCTGTCGAATATTCGCATACCTTTCGGATTCCAAGAGTATTCAATTTAAGACGTACCGCTCTGCGAAGCTTGTTGTGAACTCCTAAGTACATACACGTACGCAGACGATTAACCCTATAAAGTACACTCTTTTTTTCGTAAATGGGGGCGAAGTTGCACGGGAGAAAGAAACGCTAGGATAGCTTGAGCGACACGAGTTGTACCTGTGGTTCCGAGGGTGGATCGTAAGCCAGGACTGCACAAATGCAAGAATTCAGGCCAGGCTGCCCCCTGTGATCTGCTGCAGTTGCCCGCGTGCCACTCGCGTTTCACTATTCTAGAGTCAACTTGCCGGAGGGCTTCCCTTCTCTACCGTCTACAAACACTAGTCCACACCGGTTACTCGCCGACAAGCGCCGGGCCACGGCCCACCAAATGAACCGCCCAGTTGAGCAAGCCCAGTTT